GAGGGGCAGCCTCCCGGTAAGCCTCAGCACAGCCAGGCGATGGACAGCCATGGGTTTACAGGCCGGCGGGTCGTGCCCGTGCCCAGGCGGAGGCAGCCCCGCTTTCCCCCTTCTGCTCCGGCCGCTCTCCTTCCCACTCCCGGAGCGTTCCCGCGGGCATGTGAGGCTGGGACGGCGGAGGGATGCGCGGTGCAGCGGGGCGCCCCGAGGGGGCGGCACCGCCGTCGCTGTCTCGGGTGCTGAAGGCGGCCCGGCCCGCCCCGCCCGGCCCGCCCTGTCCCGGGGCCGAGCACCTGGCGCGGCCCGCACGGCGCACGCAGGGCGGCCCCTCCGCGCTGCTGCCCCCGGCCCGACGGCTGGCTGTGTTGCAGGGAGGCTGCCCGGTGGACAAGACGCACAGGAACCAGTGCCGAGCCTGCCGGCTGAAGAAGTGCTTGGAGGTCAACATGAACAAAGATGGTACCTGCTCCCCCTCTCCCGGGGCTGGGGTGGCGGGGCAGCAGGAGGGAGCTGCTCTGAGCTGAGGAGCGCTGCGTCACTCTGGTGTCTCCTTGGCCCGGCCACGGATGACCCTCCCATCCTGCGGCAGCCCTCAGACACTTCTCCCCAGACGCCCCTCGGGCAGGGGGGCACAGGGCTGGCCTCAGAAAATTGCAGGGAGGGAAGGAAGCCCGGTCGAGCAGTGCGGGGCACCCAGCGCGGATCCCCGAGGTGACTCCCTGCCCTCTCTTTGATGTCCCACAGCGGTGCAACACGAGCGGGGTCCCCGGACGTCGACGATACGGAAGCAGGTGGCCCTCTACTTCCGCGGGCACAAGGAGGAGGGCGGCGGAGCCCCGCACTTCCCCGCTGCCGCCCTGCCAGCACCCGCCTTCTTCACCGCCGTCTCCCAGCTAGAGCCCCATGGCCTGGAGCTGGCCGCTGTCACTGGCACCCCTGAGAGACAGGCTCTGGTGGGCCTGGCACAGCCCACCCCAAAGGTCAGCCACTGCCCTGGTCCCTGGCGGGCTGCAAACCTTGCTGCTGAGGTTCTTGCAACCTGTCGGCTCCTTCCTGCCTCTGGGGTAGACAGCAAAGCAAACAGCAAAGCTTGAAGCTTTGTGGGTTGTGGTGGGGAGTTTTGTTACATCCCTAAAAGCTGTGAGAATATAAGGTGCAACATCCTCTGGAGAAGGGGTATCTAACAGGACCAACTGATAACCTGCTCCATACAAACCCTGTCTCATACACTTTTATACCTTCATGGATGCAGAAATGCTCCTCTTGCCTGGAGTGCATCCACAAGTCAGTTTTAAACCTTGTTTCACAAGGAATGCAATCCCTGTGAATGAGTTTTCTTCAGAGAAATGCCAGTCTCCATGGTGTAGCTCAGAAAGTACTTTGTGTACTGACCAAAGCCTGCAGCTTGTCCCCACAGACACAAAACTCCAACTTGGCTAAGCTGGCACTTCTTGGTTGTGACATTTCCTAAGCAGCCCAGTGGAAGCACTACTGTGGCCTCAACTGCACAGGAATTAGCTGAAAGGTGATGTTTTTTATTAGCCCATTTGCAATGGTATTTTGTGTCTTCATAGCATCTAGAAAATCACAAAAGAAACTGCTTAAATAGTTCTGCATTTTCAGAGCTGGTATGTAGCTTGGAAGAACCCATTATAAACATGGTCACAAAATAATAGTTTTACATAGTAATTTTGAAAAATGTCGATTCAGAAATTATTTGGCAAGAAACTGTAGCACACACTTGAAAACATAACTCCATTCAAACCCTACACAGCCTCTAGATAGTTATGCTGAGCTCTGTGCATCTACTTACAACATGTTGCAGTTAGGAAGCAAGATGAAGGTTTAGACTAAATAAATATTTACTGCTTTGCTGAGCAGGGCTGGAATGCTAAATCAGCTTCTGGAAGCAAGGTTACAAACTACATGTTGCTAATCAAATTTTTATTCTTCTAACTCTGCTATCAGACATGTTCTATTGTGTAACTGAGTAAAGCACGACACATAACTTTGGCATGCTTTTTCCCCCGATGCAATAATTTCATTCTCCTTTCAACCTCCTGCTCTGAACAGTTTCTTTAGGACAGCTCATCCACATGGATAAGCAGCAAGGAGCAGTTTGGAGTGAGCCCTCTGCTTGCAGAACACGAGAGTGCACACTCTGTTATTGGGCATGAGCAGGAGCACTGAATGTAGGGCAGAGGATGACCAGGCTGCCTTGGTGACACTGTATGAAATGGCTTTATTTTCTCTTTGACATTAGTACCCACATGAAGTCAACGGTACCCCTATGTATCTCTACGAAGTGGCCACTGAATCTGTCTGTGAGTCAGCAGCCAGACTTCTATTCATGAGCATCAAGTGGGCCAAGAGTGTGCCAGCCTTCTCCACCTTGTCCTTACAAGACCAGGTAAGGCAGTGGCAGTGGGAGTGGTATTGGTCTGGCCTGCCTGTTAAAGAAGGCTCAGACTTCACATTGGGTCCTGGACTTCCAGCCCTAGACCTTGAAATCTGTAATGGACTTCAGCAGTGCTGAAGTTCAGTGCAGCGTTTCAGTCTGTCCCTGAAAACTAGGCAGTGATTTAGAAACTGCTTTCCTCCAACTTTTACCCCATGAAGAAAATGAAAATTCAAGCCAGGAAAAAGGAATCTAACATAAAATTAATATTATGGAAGGACAAGTGCTAGAGGAGAAATCACCAGGCTGCAGACCAAACTTAGTATGCCCAAACTGCTTCTCTACTTGTAGGACAACTTTTTCTTCCATAAAATGGGGAGGAATAGCATCTTACTTTGCTATTTAGGGATGAGAAATACTTAGTTAAATTTATGGTCTCAGGATATGACTGAGGTTGTTTATGAAGACCAATTCTCCTCCTCCTCCTCCTCTTCCTCCTCCCCCTCTCCTCCTCATCCTCCTGCTCCTCCTCCTCTTCTTCTCCTCTCCTCTCCTCTCTTCTCAACTGTTTACACAGACAACATCTTTTTCCTTATTCGCCTTGGCTTACAATTACATCAATATGGGAGAAGTAGTATTTGGACAACCCCCAATATTTTTTACCATTAATTAAAATGTTCCCTAATATGTTTTGTTTTCCTCTATGATAATTTACCTTTGCCTCAAGTAAATCATAGGTGAACCATACAAGATGAAACAATTTCTTAATGACTTGATTCTTGATGAGGACTCAGTGTGCTTTGTATAATGCACCAATTTTAAAAAAAGTAATCAGATAATTGTAAGATGGAAGGGTGGAAATCTACACAAAGCTCCAATCATAAAAGACATCTATTACTTTGATATGATTGAGCTAATTTACCAAAATGGTAACTAGAAAAACTGTGCCATAGATGTTACATAGCAGTCATCAGAGGAACTAGTTCCCCTCCCTAGAAGCACATTACAAGTGTTGCAGTTGATATGATAATATGTATTTTGAACTGCAAGAAAAGAGCTTCCTAGGAAACCAATAATGTTTTCAATCTAAAGTAAATAATGATGGTCACAATGTGTTATAAAGCTAAGGTATATAAAAATGCTCATTTTCTAGCACCAAACCCATGTCTTGAAATACTTATTATGAAATTAGTCAAAGAGGAATGCTGCTCAGCTCCACCTGCAGTCCTGCTACGCAGTGAGGATGAGGGGAGAAATGAGATGGGGCCTGGAAGGTCACACATGCCAGTAGGAAAACAACAATCCCAGTGTGGCAGCCTGCTGCTCTCTAATCGTGTCTTCTGCTGCCACTAATCCTGTGGAGCACAGGGTCTGTCACAGTGAGCAACCAAAGAAACTGGCTCAAGTGTCAGGGACAAGAAGCAGGTGTGCTGCTCCAGCAGCAGCCCCAGCACACAGGAGGAGACTGGGTGATGCCCACAGGAGGCTCCCTAGGCAAAGGCTTTATCTGACATAAAAGGGAGGCATTCCCCACACCATCATCTCTGTTAGTGTGCAGAGGATGAGACAGCAGGATCTGGAAGCAGGAGAGATCTCCGTGGCATGTGACCAAGCACACCTCAAACAGCACAGCCTGCTTATCTACTATAGGCACCACAGTGCTCCCATTAAACGATCCACTACCTCTTTCACTTTCATAGCAGGGACTAAGCTTAGTGAATAACATATTAAAAACCAGCCTTTCCTTAACATCACTCTCACTTGCTGCAGCTTATTGCAAGTCAGCTTCCTCAAAACTCAGAGCTGCTCAGCTCAAAAGCTTTGATTTAGGCCTCTTTCTGCATGATTCCCCTGTAATGCTTAGGAGAGCTGGAGAAGAAATAATTCTGATTTTAATCACCTTATTTAATGAATAATCATACTGTTGATTTTTATAACATTGCTATTGCTTTATTTAATTTGACAATGGCCCAGCTGTAAATGTCTGCATTTCTCTCTTGGTATCCCTGACATCTGGCTGAGGAGACACTAAAATATTTTCTGAATTCTGCTTTTTGGTGTGGTGGGTTTTTTTGGCTGGTTTTTTTTTTTTTTTTTTTTTTTTTTTTTTTTTTTGTGCCCTTATAAAAAGGCAAGTGCACTGTAATTTCAGGACTCTGGGGCAGTTTTATCTTGAAGGCAGGGAAATAAATAGAAACCAATTTGCTGATAAAACACAAGTCTGAGCATTGCTGCATTGCTTACCTCTGGTAAAACAGAGGCTGTGTCTCTTCCCTAGATTCATACAGATAAGTCAATTTTGAACCAGAAACCACACAACAAAAAATGTCATGCTTCTAGTGCTGCTGGCCTGCACATCTGCCCACGTTATCTGTGAGACAGGTTGGCTCAATACAGGTCCCAACAAAAGGTCACACCAAAGATGGGGTTGATAAAGAAGCAAAAACAGTTGTTCAGAAAGCCTGGTATCTGTTGTTTCTTTGAAGAAGGAGGGCTGAGTTTGACTTCAGCATGAATTATTTTAATTGGTGGTTTTACAGACATATGCATAGGCATGAAGAAAGCTTCAGCTATTGGAATAGTCTCTTATTTCTAAAGTCTTCTGACTTTAGTGGGAAAGAAAATATGAAATTGATATCTTCAAGGAACCACCATTCATTACCATTGTATCTGCATGAATGAATGACAAAAAAAAAAAAAAAAAGCAAATTAAATCAAATGACAAAAGCAAATGAAAGGCTGGTGAATCATTTTCTATGACATAGAAAATGCACATCCATCAGGTGGGATTATCCAGAGGAGGGACTGGGTTTGCAGGCTGCAGTGGTTAGGAAACTTTAGAGTAAATTCATCTGCTCTTAGAAGAAAGTTGAGATGGGCAACACACTCTAGACATAGCATCCCCTCCCCATCTCCATTTCAGGCAATAATCTGGGCAGTTTTTGGTACTGTAAAATCCAATGTAAGTGTTTCAAACAGCAACTGTATGCAGAGACACGAGTACCTTCCTGTCACAATTCCCTTAGGTTATGGAAAAGTTCTGCAAAGCACACAGGGCAAAAAGGCATAAAATAGACATAACCCTCCAATGAAAAGTTGAGAGCAGACACTCTGAGAATTCAGATTGGAACAGGATGGTTTAATACCATCCGATACCATTCCATGTAATCATGGAATCACAGGAGGCATCAGGGATCAAATCTGATCCAATCTCCCTGCTCAAGCAGGGTCATCGCAGAGCACATGGCACAGGACTGTGTCCAGGCTGTTCTTAAACATCTCTGGTGAGAGAGACTCCACGACCACTTTGGGTAACCTGTTCCAGTGCTTGGTGCACAGTAAAGAAGTGTTTCCTCATATTCACGTAGAATTTCCTGTGCAGTTTCTGCCCATTGCCTGGTGTCCTAGTGGCTGGCAACAAGTAATAACTCTCCTGAACAGCAATATTGTTAAGAGTTTGCACATAGTTTGGATTTGCTTTTACTGATGCTTTCTGTATCACCTACTACTTTCACATATCTGATTCCAAAGATATAATCATTAATTTTGTACAGCAAAAAAATTGTTTACTTTGTTCTTCTTTACAGTCTGTTTACATACTTAAAATACCCTCCTTCCTCTTTTTCTAAGAAGCTAAGCTGCTGATAGTTTCAGGGACCACAGCAACATCAATGATTGCAGGTTTTGGTGTTTGGGTTTGGTGGCTTCGTATTTTTTCTGCTTGAGTTTTGGGCAATCTGCTTTCACTGCATGGAGCTGCTAGAAGGTATCTTCTGAGCCCACTACAGTTCTCACCCCTTCAAATCTCTCCCACCCTATTTTGTGACACAAGGTCTCAGCAATATGTACGCACCACCATGTGCCCTTTGGCCACGCACTTCAGCTGAACCAGAGGTCCTCCAAACCTCTCTTAAGAGTTGGTCTAAGCTAACAATCCATAGATGCCCTCAAGACTAAACATGTCTCTTCTGGCTTTGCCAGTCTGCATTTCCAGAAGTCTTGTCTCCTCTTCAGATGTACCACTGCCTCTTCAGGGAAATCACAAGCATTGCCTCAGAGAAAACAGAGAAAAAGACATCCTCCATACAGAGAAGCAGTGTGGAAAAACTGCAGAGAACTAGCAATTGTCAGTGTAGGTGCCTGGATATTCACATCTCTGAAAGGAAACGGCTCTTAGTGCCTGGAATTTCTGAGTGATTTTATGCAAAAAAGCAGAAAAACAAGTGACACTGAGAAATTGTTCGTGTGTCCAGATGCTGTGCTTGACAGATACAGAGACTGGCTTAGTAAGGAAGGAGTTATAAGATGGATGTATGCTCTAAAGCACTGCTCCCTACACTGATACAGGATGTTATCCAGGCTTTTCTTCACAAAATTCTGCCTTCCTGAGGGAAAGGAGTGTAATCTCCAGAAAGCAAGAGAAAAGACCTGTCCTAAAACAGCTGCATAAGTGTTGAGGGGGAGGAGAAGAGAACCCATACCATGCTGAGAAAGCAGGTGTGGTCACGTTATGAGCAAATGCTCCAGAAAAAGAGTTCTCTCTTTCTCTTCCCTTTTGGTCCACAACATGGTGCACAGTGAGCCAACCCTCAGTGTTTTTCTACAATGCATAGACTTATTTCTAGACACCTTCTCAAAAGGCTAAGAGAAAAGCTAATGAATGCTGTGGGGGAAATACCATGACAGGCATTTAAAGTAGTTTTTAAAATAACAGAAATTTACATATTTAAATTGTTTATAAATCTATAAATTATACACTATGTTATATTGTACATCTATTGTATGACAGCTGATGCTTTTGGAAGATGCTTGGAGAGAACTGTTTGTTCTAGGAATAGCACAATGGGCCATTCCAGTTGATGCTAACACTCTACTGGCTGTATCTGGTAAGAATTGCACAATTTAATGACTTTGTTACAAAAATTACCATAAAAATACATTACAGAAAAAAGAACAACATGTAAAGAATAACAAATTCATACTGAACAATAGAGCATACCTGTCATTTATAAATCTATATTTAAATGCAAATAATGTTGTTTTGTTGTATTCATGACTGCTTGCATTGTCATTTAAATGCAAATTACTGTGTTTGTTATCATCCAAGAGAAGATTTTATATTAACTTTCATACAATATAGTCAGTTTACATGGAACCAGATAGACAAGTGTGACAATAGAGAGGACATTGATACAGAGGATTTTGTCAGAAATCAATATAAAATAAAGCAAATGCCTTTAATATTATTTATTTCATCTGTTTCTGTTTCAGGCATGAATAGTGACAATACAGATTCTCAGAAGCTGAATAAAATTATTTCAGAAATACAGGCCTTACAGGAGGTTGTGGCTAGATTTAGACAACTTCGGCTAGATGCTACTGAATTTGCCTGTCTCAAATGCATTGTCACTTTTAAAGCTGGTAAGCAGAAAGGATCTCTTGCTTGTCTGGTCTGATAACTATGAGGCTGCTGATTTAACGTGATGTTTTTACCCAGGCATAGCTTTGTATCACCCAGCAGGTTTCCCAGTATTGAATTCCAATAGTCTTTGCTGCATTTTGAAAGGGCTGACAGTGGAGTGCTGGGAAACTAATGGGAACATTTAATTTCCATTGATAGCACTAGCTGAACTGTTTTGATCCACCCAAGAGTCAAGCTGAACTAGTAACTGATCTGCTTTCCAGTGCCCACACACAGTGGTTCTGAACTGAGGAGTTTCCGAAATGCGGCCGCCATAGCAGCCCTTCAAGACGAAGCCCAGCTCACCCTGAACAGCTACATTCATACCAGGTAAGTGGTGTCTTCTGTCAGTGCTCCTGGCAGGTGTAGGGCTAAAATCCTGCTCTCATTGCATGGAAGGTGGCATTTGCACTGACTGAAATGGGGACTAGGCTGCTACAGAGAGTATACATTGGCTGGCAGCCTGCTGGGATTTCTGAAATAGAACCACAAAAAATGTTGGAAAGGACCCTTAAAATCATCCAGTTCAACCATTAATGCTGCCAAGTCCATCACTAAATCATGTTCCCAAGTGCCACATCTACCTACACGTGTTTTAAAGACCTTCAGGGATGATGACTCCACCACTTCCCTGTGCAGCCTGTTCCAATGCTTGACAACATTTTCAGGAAAGAAATTTTCCCTAATATCCAAACTAAACCTCCATTGGTGCAACTCGAGGCCATTTCCTCTTGTCCTATTGTTTGTGATTGGGAGCAGGGACCAAAACCCACATCACTACAATTTCCTTTCAGTTAGAGAATGATAATAAAGTCTCCCCTTAGCCTCCTTTTCTTCAGACTAAACAACTACAACTCCCTTAGCTGTTGCTCTAGATCCTTAACCAGAACTTGTGCTCTAGACCCTTAACCACCTTTGTTGCTGCTCTTCAAGTGTGCTCCAGCACATAGGTATTTTTAAACAAACAGAAAGGTGTTAAAAGGACAGCTCTTCCTCTGGGAAGTGATAATGGCTGCGCAACACTTTGCAGTTCAGAGGGCTACATTTCCTCTACGTTTTATTCAATCAAATACCACTAAAAGTGATGCTCAAAACATTGCATCTCAGACCAGTATGAGTGTCTTTCAAACATAATCTCCAGTTCCTATATAACCTCCTCCATTTTTCAGACACAGAAATCAGGACACAAGGAGCTTAAGTGGCTCTTCCAAGAAGCTGTCTGGAGTTTGTGATCAGGTTCAAATAAAAACCCCAGAATTTGTGAATCTCATTGTGGTGCTGCAGTGAAGTCCTTTAGTTGCAGTGGACTCCGTGAGACTAAAACAGCTGGAGATGGAGCAGTAGAAGAGGAACTTTTATACAATTTTTTCCCTCTGAAACTTTGATTTGCTATCATAGCAGCTCTGTCAGGCAGAAGTCCTATCAGTGCCAGAGATTAGATGGTAGCAGTCTCTGAAGCACTTCTATGAGTCTACAGGGAATGGCCTGCACTGGGGATGGAAGTAAAAATGCAAATTCCATCCAGTTATGGCTGCTTCAAAGCAAAAATAGCAATTGCTACATTGCAGTGTCTTCCTGCTCTTAAGGAAGACCTTTTCTGTGAAGATTGGTTCCTGGAGACCTTAAGTGAGACAGGGCCTGTTGGAAAGAGAAATCAGGGAGGAATACATAGCCACATCTTCCCTTCCAAGGGAACAACTTTTCCACTTCTGTGTTGCTGGATGTATTTAGATACTGTGTTATCCAGTGTAAGTTGTAAACAATATCCTTTTACAAGGGAAAATTGCAGTCCACTGACAGGACTCTCACTCAGACTCCATTGTGAGAGGGCTTTCAGCCTTGTGTATTTCATCCTCCTGCCTATGTCATTCCAGTATCAGCCCTTTGATCCCAGTGGAGTCACTCTCAAGAGGATGCAAGGGAGGGCAGTCTGAAGAAGCAATATGTTTCTCCAAACAACCTACACTTCCCTTTAGGGAGACTACTGTAAGCAGAAGTTTGAGAATCACTGTTGTAAAGACAGCATAAGCACAGCTAGAAATGCACATCTTATGCTGTGCTGGCTTCAAAAGCTGGGAGAAAGGATGGAAAACATCCAATACACGAACACATTACCTAGGGAAGAGCACAGCTTCTTTAACACAAACTTTCCTTATGAATATCAAGTAGTATTCAATATATCTGCTAACCAAAAGGGGGCAAAGTGATTATCATGACAATCCAGCTAGTTCTAAACTGAACTTCAAATGACAGCACAGTTGCTACAAGTCAAGCTCTTCCCCGTACTGCATTGAGAACATTGCTGTATGAGGGACACATCAGAGCAGATCCAGTTTTTGTACTCCTACTGCTCTAGGGGACTGAACAAAGGAGCTAAACAAAACTCAGAAACCTTGTCCTATGTTCTGCTGACTGCCATGGAGCATTTTCCTTGGAGCCAACCTTCTTGCTCACGCAAGTACAAAATACAGGGTTTTGGCACAGTGTCCTGGGGTGACAATAGTATCCCACTAGATTCTGAGTCATTTTAGACCATGCAGACTGCACTTAGGTTGAGGTTATTTGGTTCCCTCCCAAATTTGTCACAAACTGGGACATATAGGTAGCTTCACCCATGCAGTTAAGTAAATATTGGTCTTTTTCTATAAAATAAAGTCCTTCCTTTGAAAAAATACTTTAAAACTTCAATGAAATAATTTTTCTCTCTGTCTCTAGGTATCCCACACAACCCTGTCGTTTTGGAAAACTTCTATTGCTTTTACCAGCTTTACGTTCAATTAGTCCATCTACAATAGAAGAAGTATTTTTCAAAAAGACAATTGGGAATGTACCAATTACAAGACTGCTTTCAGATATGTACAAATCCAGTGACATATAAATTACCTTAAAATAAACAATCAGGATGGACAGTTTGAGAAGAACTTTTATCTATGGAGAATAAGCCTCAACTAACAAAATCTACAGGAAGCATAAGCCTGGGAATGTTTAGTCCTTAAACTCATTGACAAAAAATACCCCAGTAGATATGATTCTGCTGCTCTGAACGGAGTGATTTAGATCATGGAGAGAATGCTTTGTTCTACAGAAAAAGTGAAAGTGGTTGGAATTTGGCTGCTATTCCTGTTACTACAGGATGGAGGCAATTCAGATGCCAGTCATAGTTAACAAAGACTCTGCTATTCTCTCATTCAACTGGCAGATCTGAGACAAAATGTGAAAGAAGGTACTTTAGCTTGTTCAGTATTTGGAACCGGGTGACCAAACTTGGCTTCTGTTATAACACAAGATGTGGTGGCCTTCAGAATTGTTTTAAAAGTAGCCTATGTTGGGAAAATGCTTTTAATATGATAGGCAACATTTGAGACTAAGTTACCAAAACATTGCTTCTGCTATAATGCATCATGAAGTGGCCTTCAGAACTGATTAAAAGGTAGCTTATGACCCCAGCTCCATTCTTCCTACAAAATGAACTGGTGATCTTTGATGCAGATGTCACCACAATTTGTTCGGCTAACATCTCAAAGACAGAAGAGCTTTATACATTTCCTCCCCGACCTTCCCTCCTTCTTCTTCCATGCACAGACATACATTCAAACACACACACACACACACACCTGAAAAGAGACAACACAAGAAAGGAAGACTAAAACAGCAAAACCAAATACAATGGAGATGACCGCTTCAGTGATCTGCTGGCTGTCCTGTTGGCACAGTGCTGAAACCAAAGGCAACGGTGGCCAAACTCTTTGTCAATGAGATGTGCAGAGAAATGAAATGACTATAAAAAAAATCAGTGGAAGGAATTTTATTTCAAAGAAATAAAGGTTGTTGACTGATAAAATGCTAACAATTTCCAGAAGTCTCCAATGCCTTTTTAGAAAACTCCAGGTTCTAATTTTGAAGCCTTGTTCGCCTACACCCTCTCACACACAAAAATGTTATAAGCTGCTTATTTGTTGTATGAATAATGTAGAAAAAAAACCATTTAAAGATAGCTGCTGTCCTTTTCAAAATTTGATTTGTTATTAGGAACTAGCACTGAGAAAGATCAGCACTTGAACTATCATAGAATGAGTAAAACTTTTCTTGTACAAAGTGGATTAACTGATTTGTGAAGTTAAAAAGTTGTACTCATTGTATTTACAAAGAATAAAAATATATTGAATTTAAATTACTTTCCACTGTTCTTTTATTCGTTGTCCTTAATCAGTTTATTTCACTGCCCCCTACTTACCAGGGAATAGAAGTATTCTTTACTAAAACGGATTGCCCTAGATCCTGTGGAGTTTCCATCATCAGAGGTTTTTAAAAACAGATTAGACAAACATTAAAGGAGTGATCCTGCCTTGTGAGATCATACATGGAGCTATTTTCTGTAATCCAAATAAATACCAGCTGTCACCTTTCTCAAGAAGGTGACAGGTAGCTTTTTCTAGGATACAACACTAAGTGCATCAGAGGTCTACCCCAGTATGTGCCTTCTGTTGCGTGTTATTACAATTTTTAATATCGGTGAACTGTACAGCTAACAAAAGGTGATGAGTATAAAAGCATTGCTTCAATTAAAAAGACTGAGGTTTTATTAAGGTGTCTAACTGCATAATCACACCAAAGAAAGAGGGAAATAACTCCAAATCAACACAACAACTTGGCAATAGTAGGAGGGAAATGTATTGTTCATATGGCAATGAGTAACTGAAGAACCATGCATGCGAAAGTGACAGGTAGAAATATACTGTGAGTATTGATGGCTCACTGGTTTGCGGTGTCAAGGAATACAGGTCACAAGTGAAATCCTAGCTCTGCTGACTTCCAAGTTCAAAAATCTCACATGTTTCAGAGGTCAAAGTTTTAACCCCAGCTCTCTTCTATTTGCAGTCTGCTAGGTCTCACATTCTACCGTTTCCAACACAGACCATAAATACAGAAGATGAGTCACAGGCTATGGGACCTCAAAGTATCTTCTATACTAACTAGCTTGGAGCACTTCAAAATGCACTTACCACAGGGCACAGCACATTCTTAGAAAGAAACCAACAAACTGTTTATAATCCATTCTTCTTGCACCTGTAATAATCTTCAACTATTTTCTGCTCTCTACACTAAAAAGAACCGAACAGAGCAGAAAAATCAATTGCAGTTCTCTACTCTGTGACAATTCAGTCTATGAGCTAGAGAAGTAGAACCCAGTGCTGCACAGAATCCATCACAGAACATTCATTTCAATGGTTCATGCTGCTGTCTCAGAGTAGCAATAAACGTGAACTGCATCCACCCTGCTAGGCAACCAGGCAATCACACCCTGCAGTAGTCCCTACATCGCCCTGACTAGAGAAAAAAACAGAGTATACTGGCAAAGCAGGCAGGGCAATGGGACCACATCCATATCTTGTCCTCTTACCTGCAAGATCTGGCCCAGCTGCAGAGCAGATTCACAAGCTGGGAACAATGCCCAGTTCCCTATGGTTTAGGCACAGCTAATCTCAGGCTATGTCTTGGTCCCACTGCTGCACATTGCATGGAAGCACAACCAGTTACACTACACTAGAATTAGGGTCTCTAGCTAGCCTTGAAGGACTTAAGGCTAGGTGAGATCCCAAAGTGCTATGAAAATCCTCTGTTGTTCTAAGAGATTAATGCTCTGAAGTCCTCACTTTGGAAAGAGGAATATTTGACATGAAGCATGCAGCTTTTCCCTCTACATTTAGTCTTTCTTCCCCCCTTTTCAAGCATAACTCAAGTTTTAGGGGTGATTCAACAAGGAGAGAGAAATTTGGAAATTATTTACATTATCAAAAACATCTTGAAAAGTGACAGCCATGGGTTGCAATTGGACTGTCAGTTTTGGTCCTTGGGTTTGAGAGAATCAGCACAGTCTCAGTTAAGTATGAGGCTTCCACCTAAATTTAAATTATTCAAAGCAATTATTCAAACATCCATCTATTCAGTGTAGCTAATCACTAGTACTATGTGTAATCCAGCCAGCCACCACTGCCTTGTCAGCTCAGTCTTTGACATTCAGATTTTCATAAATGAGGTTAATGGTCTTAGTTAAAAGAAGGTACTGATTTTGTCAGGAAGTTTGTAGGATGCTCTTTACAGAGGTAAGTGTCATAAGAAGGAAAAAAGCAGCAGAGCTGAGTCTAAGCCAACATGTAGCTACCAAATAGCATGAAACACTAGAGCAGATTGCTACTAGAATATTCTGCAATCTGCTGTCAAGAGCATCTGGATAGGCTATGTCACATTTGGAAGACTAAGGAAACTTCTCTAGCACACTTCCTGTATAAAAGACAACTTCAGCAGTGCTGCCTGTGAACTGCAGTTCAGCCACCCAACACCTGCATTGCACCAGTGGTCAAACCAGCACAATGCTACTGCTCACTCCTCCTTCAGTGTTCAAGGAAGTGGACTATGATCATATCTTACAGCAGCATCTTCCTAATTCTATTTGTAGATCAGAGCTATTTTAAGCTAGGAATGATGTTATAAAATAAGTTATGCAAACATTCATTTCTCTATAGGATGGCATAGTTTTCACTACCTAGCTGATGCTTTTCATGCCTGTCAGGTAGAAAGGTACTCTTTTCCCAAAGTTATTAAAGTCACAGATCTCTTGATTGCCTACCATGAGTGGTATTCCAACTTCAGCTCCACAACACAGGAACAGCCTTTTATACCTTTACATGTTCTTTAACACTTGCAGAGTGAGTGACAGCTTCTAAGGGTATTTTGTGCTGGCTGTTAGTGATACACAACTACATTGTGGAAGAACATCACAGTGAGGCTGTAACACCAGTTCACTTAGCATAGTCAAGCCCCTCCTCCTGAGAAAGCACGAGACACTCCACACTCAAGGTCAAGAGTGACAAAACATTTGAAGTGCATTTTCACTTTTATTTCAAAACTTTAGACAAGTTACTTTAATATATAAATTCAATTTTTCCTCTTACAGAATATAAAGATAATTCCCTCATTACTTCAGTATAAAGTGTTTTACAAGCTTGAAGACAATTGCATAAGTGTTTCTCATACAGGATATCAGAAATAAAGCAGTCTTTCTACAGACATTCAGACAGGTGACTACCTCAGAAACAGCATAGCAGTTTAGTCAAATACAAGTGAACACGTGACACTACAGTTGTGAAAGTTCAAGTAAGGCCAAGTCAGTAAACATTGTTAATTCATTGCAAATAATAGTGGAAAGGTTTGTGAGACATTGCAAGGGATGGATGGTTCCATAGTATAATACTCTTAAATCAAGGATTCAGAGGGATTTAGCTAGAAGACTAGTGAGTTCTTAAATGGTATAAAGCATATGCAAAGACCAAGCAGTGTACTGGTGTTAGTGGAGACTTCGTGCCTGTTCATCCTCAGCATGCTAAGACAAACTACAACCTCTTAAAAACAAGCATAAGAACCACTAATATTTGAGGAGATGTTTTTAAAATTCAAGTATGTCTTATTTTGGATGGTGTGTAGTTTTTATCTATTACTTCATCTTGTAAGAACATGTGAAGACAACGCTCGTTCTGTGCCAATGGGTGGCCTGCAACCCTGGAGAGAAAAAAACCAAGCATTAGTATGAACCAAATGAGCCTACTTGCAGCTATCCTGCAGATCAAGGTTTTGTACCAATAACCTGTTGCTCTGCACTTGGACACAGATCCCACTTTCACTTCACTGTTGGCAATTAGAATGCTGTCTAGTAGCAAGACTTATCAGGCTTCCCCAGATGAAGTTAGTCCATAGGAACCCTGAGCTACCTCTGATCCCTTGGAAGCATGCTACATCATCTGTCACCTGCAATTGATGAGACTATCAAAGTAAGTGCTCATTCTAGCATCAGGAAATACAGAGGTAAGAAAGGCAAGAGGATTTTTTTTTAAAAAGGTCTTAACACCTTTGCCATGGGACACACTTCTAAAGGCCACTTATCCCCTCTGTTTTCAGTGTCACTGAGCAGCAGCTCATTGCGGCAGAACAGAAACCCGGCTCCAGCAGGGGGTGCGAAGGCTTTCCGAAGGCTCAGACACTGCTCCAGACAGAGCACTGCTCCAGAGAGAGACTGGACCCTAACCAATGTCCTGGCCTGTATGGACAGCACTGCACACAGCCAGGGACTACTGGCCCTTCTGCTCATTGCACATATGGTAGCTTGCAAACACAGGAAACAGAGCTTGCCTTTTCTAGGAGACAGCAGCATCTCTACTGTAGATTTAATTTAAGCTGAAAAAACATCCTTGTAACAGTAAAGGAGCTGAAATTGAATTAAGAGACACTCACTTGGAAGAAAATCAAAAAGTACTGCCCTTGAACTCTTAAAATGCCATGTAGACTCCTGTGTAGGTAAAAATCCAAAAGAATCAGATAGCTGAAAGTTCATCGTTTACGGACACAAATACCTAATACAGTTGGGTTTGAAAAAAACTATATCCAGTTGGTCAATCAAGACAGACTTCTTCCTTTAGGAGAGAAAATCCCTCAGGGCAGCTTGTGTAAACCTTGTGGCCTCCATATCTGTCAGAACAATTCTACCCATAATGGAAGGCATCTGGTTGAACACACGCAATACATATTCAGCTCCAATGGCTCAGTACGACTTCCAAGCACTTCTGTGCACCTTCTTAAAATTTATCTATTAGTGCTTATTTCACCACAGAACACACTCACTTGTCACTACTCACTTGTCATTGAGGGTGACCTATAATGAGGAAGCTGAGCTCTCCTATTCTGGATTGATGGATTATTTCAAGAGCAGTTATAAAAATATATCCATCTTCCTAGATTCTAGAAAAAGGCCAGCAGTCTCAAGCACTAGTTCACAAGGATGACAATGTAGAGCAAATAGTTGGGAAATTCTTAACCCATCAGAATGAAGTTACTGATGCTAAACTTCAAGGAAAAGATATATAGGAGAGGATGAGGCAACAGCAAATCCCTTCTTCTTTTCAGGAAGGCTTGAAAATTGATGGCTGAATTGCAGAACTAGATCTGATCTCTGATTCAGCTCTTGGTTTCATAGGAATACCTCACTCTGCATTGGCTTTCCCTCAATAGTTTTCACCAAGGTGACCTTTACACATAGCGGTTGCTACTTCATGAATTTTCATGTATCTCAGAGGCAGGTCAAGGCAGACAAGAGTGTTGAGACATAACCACCCTTGTGAA